TCCTGCATGGCAGACTGGTCTCTTTAGCCTTGGTTGTCAACCAGTCTAGAAGAATGAAATATCAACGGAGAAGGACCACTCGAAGGAGAAAACGTACTCAAATCCTGAGGTGGGCTGTATTCAGTTCTTCCGAAACGTCTGGGTTTGTTTTTGTGTTATGTTTTGTTTTTGTTTTTTCCAGGCCTTCACCATTATAATTAAATCATATGTACGCGTAGTCTGACAATTAAGTCATAGGAGCTGAATTATAACGGCAGATTTCATCATATACGCGGCCTAATAAAAAAAGTATCGGGACTGGTACTGTAAAAAAAAACTACAACACATATCAATTCGGCATTTAATCTACTTCGAAGTAGTCTCCGTTGGATGCCATACAATATATCCGGCGTTATTTCCATTGAGAGAAGCATTCCTGGAACGCCTTTTTTGGGATAGCGAGCAGTTGACTCGTCGCATTCTCTTGAATTTCCTCGACGTCCTGAAATCTTATTTCAAGTGGGATTTGATTTGTGGAAAGAGGAAAAAATCTCAAAGGGCAAATTCTGGAGAATATAGTGGCTGCCAGACCTGGGGAATGTTGTGATGTAGTGAGACGACCACACTCTATACCCTTTTCCTTTCAAGCACTGCTATTAACAACGGGAGTAAGGACATTATAACTTACTGTGCATGCGCGACAGAATTCAAGGACAATCACTGCTAACCGGCTTTACTCTGCGTACTTTAGCTCCATTACCATAGCAACACTCCCGATACTTCTTGATCTGACATCGTATATAAAGTGCTCAATATCACAAACAGAGCGTATGTAAATATAAAAATGAAAACTGAAGTCAACACCAAACGGTGACTGTTTCATGCTTCAACGCAATCTTCAGGCTATCTGAAAATTGCATTGAAACATAAAATAGACTGTCGCCGCATGACGTTGAACTCAGTGTCCACTTTATATATATATATATATATATATATATATATATATATATATATATATATATATATATATTATATATATATTGTGTGTATTTAGGCAGCATATTTTCATTTATACACGTTTCATTAAATAATATAGACAAGTGTTGTCTATTTATTTTTTATGTAAAATTTTTTCGTATCTTCTGATTAGTTTGATAACATTATCATTAACCGAAAAAGAAATTCACAATATTTATCCATTATTTTTTTAATATAATCTAAGCTTTCGGCTTACTCAAGCCATTATCAAAGATGTAATTACAAACATATCAAACAATATACGGACACGACAGTGATGATAGTCTGTCAATGTTTACTTTACATAGTGGATCACTAAGCAACGATGAACACGCGCATATAAGACGCTAGAAGCGAAAATCGCACCGCATCTCATGACGTCACACATGACTACACGAGAGTGAATTGGAGAATGAAATAAGGAAAGCCGTTGGTATAAACCAATGGCTTCTGTTACCAATTATAGAAATTATAGACATTTAAGAATATTTGTAGAGATTCCATAGTTGATTTTGTTTAGGTTGGGTTTTAACAACACTTGTCTATATTATTTAATGAAACGTGTATAAATATATATATATATATATATATATATATATATATATATATATATATATATATAAACTCTGAGTAAAATGGATTTTATTTATCAATCCGACGGATTTTTATCGCTTAAAAACCGGTAAGCGCATATTTTTCTCTTATAAGATTTCTCGAAAAATTAAGCTGGTAGACGAAAATAAATAAATATACTGCTTAATAATTAAATGGAACGTCTACTCAAATATGAGTATCCACTACAAATAACGTTACTCTAATCTGTATTGAGAAGTAGCGACAAAAGAATTATCGTTGTACTATTAAAAAAGCTTAAATATTAATGCAATACTTACATGCAGCGATCAATTTTGAGTTCTTCTGTAGTTTGTTGTTGCTTGTCGCTTCTATTGCTCCCTACCTATTTTAATGAAGGCTCAATCAAGAACCCTCCGCAGAAGCTGCCGCTCAATAGGGCAACTTTTAATTTAGTATTACTATAAATTATATATTATACATATATATATATTTCTTATTACTATAAATTATATTATTTAGTTATTATTACTATAAATTTCATATATATATTTTTTTATAACTATAAAGTCTCTCTCTTTCTCTCTCTCTCTCTCTCTCTTTATATATATATATATATATATATATATATATATATATATATATATATATATTTTGTTTTCAGAGTGAGAGAGAGAGAATGTGAGGGAAAGAGATGTACAAGTTTTGTTAAATTTAACCGAAACGATTTGTCAATTTTATTATATTTTTCCAATTTTCAAATCAAAGGTGTCATATCGAGGTTTTGTTCAATTCAAGCGACAATATAAACCTGAAATTAGGACAATAATAGCCAGATTGTGTTTGTTTTATTTTGCTGTTTTTTGTTTTGTTTTGTTGTTTTGTTTTGTTTTGTTTTTCATTATATGAATAAACTTAACGGTGTGTATCAAAGAACAAACAAAAGAAACAAAAAATGAATTATTCCGTATCAACTAAACTGAGAAATATGAACACGATTATATATGGGAGTGCACCAACCTTTCTGATCACACCACCTTTTCATTTGACATAACGTAGTGTATTGCTTTCTTTATAAACTCACTGATGTGCCATCACATAATGAACGCTGACTAATAGGGTGTTGGCCCACAATGTGCCAACAGGACATGTCATGCCAAATCGAATATCTACTCCAAAAGATCCGTGAAGTTTTCATCTTTCCTCATTATGTATCCTAGAAATGTCAACCATCTCTTTCTGATGCGTCCTTTTTGTCTCCACTTTCTTTAAAAACTTCTTCGTTGCTCACATGTTCACTCCGTAGTATTCTCAGCATCCTCCTGTAGAACCATATTTCTTTAGCCTCAAGTCTCTTTTTCAATTGATATTGCATAGAATTACATCACTCTTCTCTTTGTTTCTAATCACATTATCCTGTTTCTTGATACTCTGTTTAGCTATTGGAAGACTTGAGGAGATTGTCCAGCATTCACTGTCATATAGGAGGATTGATATTGCATAGAAATGTATCACCCTTTTCTTTGTTTCTAAAGACATTTTCCTGTTTCTTGATACTTTGTTTAGATTTTGGAAGGCATATTACGCTGTCTCAATGCCCTTCAGATTTTGATGTCGCATTTTCTGTCCTTTTCTAAAAAAAAAAAATCCTAGATATTTTATTTTTTGTACTTGTTTGATTTTAGTGTCTTCATTTCGTACTTCGCTGCTCCTTTTGCTGACAACCATATTTTTGATCTTTTTACAATTGACAGTTAGTCCGTTCTTCTCGCTCTCCTTTATTATCTTAGGCAGGAGTTCCTGTGGCTTCCTTTCTGTCTCTGCTATCCGCATTGTGTCATCTACATATCTTATATTGTTAAGCAACCAATAATAAATCCTAGTAGAATTTTTGTGTATCGACTGAATTAAACAAATGGTAAAATTTCTAATTCTAAGTTTTAGAATTTAAGTGCTATTATCCTATTTGTTTTGTTTTTTGGGTTTTTTCTATTTTAAATTCACATTTTTTTTTTTTGCTTTTCCTTTTTACTTATTTTCTGAGACCTATAGACGTTTTCAACATACAAAGAACTTATAAAAGTTTTAGAAGATGATGTTTAGGAAAGAAATATGGAAAATTAAGTTTTAGGATTTGTCTTGAAAATTAATGATGTCAATGAATTTATTTGTTTTTTTACAGATTATGAACCATTGCAGGTTATTTAAAGCCAGAAAATATTTTTAGGCTGTTTTAATGTTTTTTAGTTAATAATGATATACTTGATACAAGTCCTACTATTTAACCCATAGAGGGGGTTAGAAGAGATGCATTCATAACTTCCCTCAGGTTATAAGTGAATATAACCAACCCGACTAGAATTGGAGCTCGACTCTCCAATCCCGAGCCATTATCCATTACCCCACCCGTACGTACAAGTGCTTACAGGCCCGACGTTGCTTAACTTTGGTGATCGACATGGAATTTAACTATGTCTTCTGAAGTTTTCTACAAAATAAAGTCTTTGTGAGCCAGTGGCCTAGTTCACAGTAAACTGAGCATAAAGAGAAGGGGAACGTCCATTTTTTTTTCTGTTAGGTTGTCACACATGAAATGACGCATTTTTTGGTTGGTTGCTGATCCGATACGATCGGATCAACAACCAACCAAAAAATGCGTCATTTTTACTATATAAAAAATCTCGACTTATTCCAGACTCTTTTTCTTTCCAGCTAATTTTTCTTACAATATATTGTTATTCATAAGGCCAATGAAAATGATTACAATTAAACAATATCGATTAATCTTACTGTATGAGTACAAACTGGGAAAAAGAGCCATTTTTGCATCGATGAGAAATGGATACTCTTTGACAACAGTAAGAGAGTAGGCCAATGGTTAGATGCAAGTTAATCACCAAAACAATACTCCAAAACTCCACTGCACATTAAAAAGCTAATGGTTACTGTATGGTGGTCTTTCAAGCTAAGGAAAGGATCGTTCGCATTGACTCCATGATCTTAACTACGGTCGACTACTTTTAATACATTCGTTAGTACATGTCATCGGCACAACATTTACATGAGTATCAAATTTATCTCGCGTTTTCTGCAGGATTAGGTTTTTTTATTAGTATTTCAACATTGTTCACTTCTTTATCAATAAAAATATCTCTTACCCGTCTTACTGTCCTGTGCGAATTGGCGTACAGAAAAATACTAATGGACCTGAAAGAGAACATCTATTTAACATCGCCTGCATTTATAGTTTTGACAAAAGATTAATTTGTGAAATATCAAGCGATGTCAAGACATGGCTTGTTAATTTTAACGCCTCCAAAATGAAACTGCTTTCTAAGAGAACTTCTTTTTTTCTGCCTTCCAGTGGTTAAATTCAAGTTAATCACCAAAACAATACTCCAAAACTCCACTGCATATTAAAAAGTTAATGATTACTGTATGGTGGTCTTTCAAGGGGGTTATTCATTATTCATTCTTGTCTCAAGGGGAAACAATAACAGAAACCTGGTATTAAAAATTAAAAAAGAAACATCCTCGGCTTGTGAATAGGGATGGCCCAATTTTGCTACATGACAACGCACGGCCGCACGATTCTCAATCAACCGTCCAAAATTCTAAATTAACCTTCTGGGGCGCCTAGCTCTTTTGATGATCTGAGGTGACACTAGATACAGTTTAAAAATTTGGCCTTGTTCCTAACATCCAGAAGAGTGGCTCATTGTACCTTCTCGGACTCCTCTCACCTCTCTGTCGACCATACATCACGTATACATTATCTGAAGACCGGAGAAGCAGCCCTATAAAGAAAAAGAGAAAAATAAGTCAGAATATTGGCTCAGTTGAAAACAGAACAAAACGTGCCAACTAATAAAGCAAAATTTGTATGGAATCTTCGAGATTTCTTTCTTTCTTCGTACAGCTTTCTGCTTCATTACGCCTTCTCGGCCAAACGTTTTCCGTTGACATGAAATGGAAAGATTGTATTGAATCAAATGCTAGGTCTGCAACTAAGAAGGTTGCTTCATTATTAGACATTTTTTTCTCGCCAGAGTCTATCTTAGATATGTCTACCTATTCATCCATTCTTTGAATGTTATTGTCACATCTGGTCTGGTGCCTCTGCTATGTATTTAGAGATCGTGATAAATTACAAAGAAGGTTCTGCAATGTTATTGATCCTGACCTGGCATCTCGGCTTCAGTCACTTTCCCACCGATGTAATGTAGCTTCCCTGTGCCTTTTCTATAAATATTTTCATAGTAATTGTTCTGATTAAATTTACTCATTGGGATTTCATTTTTAAAAGTTGTTATTTTTACCAAACAAATTGTACATATGTGAGCTAATTAGGACTTCATAGAGACTTTGTGGTATTATGGTGGTTGTAGTAAGAATGGTAAGTAATAATGTGTTGTTTGGGTGTAAAGAATACTGTGGTATGTTTGAATAATTAATTGTAGTTAGCTAAGTTTAAGATAAGACTAATTGAAGACCAGCCTTCTTCTATCCGCTCTTTTGGCCTTGTGCCACGTTTTTTGTATTCTTCAAAATAAATATTACTTTCCTCTTTGTTACCTAGACTTTATGAATTTAAGAGCAGTACTGCATTGATGGCAAGATCTTATCATTTTATTTAGCGAAAAACGTTTAACGAAAATATTTGACGTTAGCCTGCGAAAGGTGCAATGAAATATATATTTCATTGCACCTTCGCGGGATAACAGTTTCCGTTGACACGAAGTACGAAGAATATATTGAATCAATTGCCAGGTATGCTGCTAGGAAAGTTGATTCACAGTGTCGTACTAGACAATTTTTCCCGCCAAAATCTATCTTACACATTTATAAGTCTACCATTCATTATATGAATGGTAGACTTATAAATGTGTAAGATATTAAATATTGCTGCCACATTTGGTCTGGTGCTTCTGCTATGTATTTAGGGATTATCAATAAAATCCAAAGAAGAATTTGCAGTGTTATCAGCCCTGAGCTAGCATTTCGGCTTCAATCACTTTCCCACCACAGTAACGTCTCTTCTCTATGCCTTTTCTATTAATATCATCATGGTAATTGTTAATTAGTTAATATCTATCTACCTATCTATTTCATTATATTCATATCATGGCACATGTAACGAGAAAATCAATACTGGAAAGAGCTATAATAGCTACTGGAGTTGACAAATCGGTTTTCCAGAAAAATTGTTTTAAAAGAAAGATTTTATAAGTTTCAACTGAAAGCAGTACGGACTGCTCGGTCAATGAATGCCAAATATTTCCCTGTAGGGAAACTGGTAATATTATCATTATAATTAAATCTATCTATCTATCTATCTATCTATCTATCTATCTATCCCAGTTAATATCTACCTATCTAGTTAGCTAGCTAGCTATTCCAGTTATTTAATATCTATACCAGTTAATACCTATCTATCTATCTATCTATTTATCTATCTATCTATCTATCTATCTATCCCAATTAGTTAATATCTATCTAGCTACATCAGTTAGCTAATATCTATCTATCGATCTATCCTAGTTAGTTAATATCTATCTATCCTAGTTAATTAATATCTATCTATCTATCTATCTATCTATCTATCTCTTTCATCGTGTTCGTATCATGGCACATGTACCTAGAAAAGATAATGTCATAATCAAGATATTAACACTCCACACCACTTCAAACAAAAGGTCCGGGAGGCAACCCCCATCAATACTGGAAAGAGCTATAACAGCTACTGGAATTGACAAATCTGTTATCCTGAAAAACTGTTTTAAAACATTTTCAACCGAAAGCAGTACGGACTGCTTGATCAATGAAAGCCAAATATTTCCTTGTAGGGAAACGGATAATATTATCATTATAATTACATCTATCTATCTATCTATCTATCTATCTATCTATCTATCTATCTATCCCAGTTAGTTAATATCTATCTATCCCAGTTAGTTAATATCTATCTATCTATCTCAGTTAATATCTATCTATCTATCTATTTATCTATCTGTCTGTCTGTCTGTATATCTATTTCATCATGTTCATATCATAGCACATGTAATCAGAAAAGATAATAATGGCCTAATCAAGATATTAACATTCAACACCACTTCAAACAAAAGGTTCGGAAGGCAACCCCCATCAATACTGGAAAGAGCTATAACAGCTACACGAGTTGAGAAAACTATTTCGCCGATAACATGTTTTAAGAGAAAGAATTTATCAATTTCAACCAACAATATCAGTGGCTGCTAAGTCAATGAATGAAGCATATTTCCTTATAAGGAAACTGCTAATATTACCGTTACAATTAACCCCTGCGGCTTCCAAGAAAAGGCCGTTTTTACTTAATGCTTCCTTTTATCAGGTTTGTAATATAAAAACCTGCTTTTCTCACAAGCGTCTAACAAAAACACAAATCTCTGTTGAATCTTAACCTTTGCTCCGGAGAGCGAACTGTTTTCTTGCAGATTTCGTAAGTTGTACAACGCCCATTAAGATTGATCTTCCGTTAAAAAAAAAAGACCTCTGAACACGCATTGCCACGCCTGAGGCTGAGTGAAACAGCGAAAGGGGGAGAGAAGGAGAGAAATAAAATATATAAGAATATTGAAACGGGAGTTCCAGAGAACGACATACAGAGAAAAGAGAGAGAGAGAGAAAAAAGAGACATACAATGAAAAGCAAGAGAGGGCGACATGCAACGAAAAGCGATAGAGAGAAAAATACACAGAAAGGCGAAAGAAAGACAGAGAAAAATGAGAGAGAGAAAAAGTGAGAGAGAGAGAGACACACACATACAGAGAAAAATGAGACAGAGCGAGACATACAAAAAAAAAAGACAGTGAGAGAAAGAGACATACAAAAAAGAACAAGAGAAAGAAATATACAGAAAAAGAGAGAGTGAGAGAAAGAGACATAAAGAAAAGAGAGAGTGAGAGAAAGAGACAAAGAAAAGTGAAAGAGGAAGAAGCATACAGAAAAAGAGAGTGAGAGAAAATGACATAGTGAAAAAAGGGAGAGAGATTAAGAGACATACAAAGGAAAGTGAGTGAAATGAACATACAAAGAAAAGTGATATATATATATATATATATATATATACATGTATGTATTGTGTATATTTAGGCAGCAATTTTTCATTGATGTATGTTTCATTAAATAATATAGACAAGTTTTGTCTATTTATTTTAACTAAGTTCCTTTCATATTGTCTGATAAGCTTAATAATATTATCATTGAAAGACGAAAGGAAATCACCATATTGATACATGTTTTAATCCTATCTAAGCTTTCGCCTTACATAAGCCATTATCAAAAATGACAATTACGTTTGAATATATCAAACAATATATGAATGAAACAGTAATGATAGTCTGTTTTTGTTGCATGAAAAATTTCAAAGCAACGACAAACTCGTGTATACGAGACGCGGAAGCGAAAATCGTATCGCAGCTCGTGACGTCACACATGACCATACGAGAGTGAAAACGAGAAGCATTAAGTATGGGAAGCCGTTGGTATAAACCAATGGCTTCTGTTATCAATTATAGGCATTTAAGAATATTTGTGGAGATTTCGTAGTTTATTTTGTTCAGGTTAGGTTTCAACAGTTTTATGTATATAGCTTCAAGATTTTTTAGTTTTTGTTTATTGTTTTCATTTTAAGTATAGTTGTGTTTTCAACAAGGATTTTCCAGAATTGTTTACGCGGCCAGGCATGTTGTTTTAAATGCCTAAAAATGTTAGAGTTATCATTCAAATGTAGAGTCAGGCGTCGTGAAAGCGAGTTTGTGGTGTGACCAACATAAATATTATTTAATCCATTGGAGATACAATCTCCCAAAGGGCACTTGAATGTGTAAACAATGTTGGTTTTTTGCAAATCACTAACGGGGAGGGGGGAGAATCATTGCGAATAATTAAGTTCGATGTACTAGATTTAGTGTAGTATATGATTAACCTAATTTTTTTGATAGGGTCTGTTGTAGATATATTAGTATTTACTAATTTTTTTAGTATATTTTCATCTTGTTTATAATTAGTATGCATTTGATTACGATATAAGACATTAATATGTTTGGGACTAGTTGAGGCAGTATTATGTTCTATTTGCTTGGTATTAAGACTATTAAGCATTTTATTTGTTCATCAACTATATAGTTTCGAAAGCTATTATTAATAAGTGTTTGTTTCATATTCTTTAGTTCACTGTAAAAAATCTGTTTTGTAGATGAATTAGTTTCTGTGCGATGTATTAGATTCTTTATAATTGCTATGGACATTCGCTTTTGTAGTTAAGTGTACCTGAATTTATGCTGGAAGGTTTTTTATATGTCGAAATAGTAAATTTATTATTATTTGTGTTTATCAATATGTCAAGGAAGGGAATTTTATTAGTAGTATTGAGTTCATACGTGAATTTAAG